AATAGGGAAGCGACTTCAGACGTTACTGTTTACAACTGTATGTTTGTCCTTGCTATAGCTCTATGCACGTGGTAGCTAGTTCATAGAACGGTTATATACTGTTTACAAGTCTTCTTGCTCAGTCATGAATTTCGTTGTTAGCTCTAGGAATACGTAAGTAATTCCTCACTATGTTCCTAGCATGTTCTTTCTGTTGGGTAGTGCCCACTGCCATCCCCCGGGAAATTCCCCTCGTACAACACTTTCCCCTCATGCAACACGCTCATGACCTTATATGGAAATATTGGTCAGCCACGACCAATCAGAACGGTTCATACGAAATTTCTGTTGCTGCCCCTGAGAATAACAAAAGCAATGAGATAATGTGTGCCACTCCCAAAGACCTTATCTCACACTGACATCCAAGTACACATTCTGGCAGCCATTCTCCACATGCAGATGACACCGAGTGAATCAACCTCTATTGCTTTGCAGCTGGTAGCTACAAAGAGTCATTCGTGCAATCTGGCATACTTTTTGCCCCATAAAAGTTTAATGGTGCATCACCACAAAATTCATACTTTCATTCTTCCGTAGCTAAGTCAAGTTGATTATGATTATTATTAGAGTAGTTTGCACCTTTCATGTGCTCAAGATTCTATACATGGCTACTAAACAAATAATCAAACAATGATAATACTACTACAGCAATTGCCTATAATGTCTTCTTTCTACAGTCTCTCACAAAGCTAAAAGTGTCTTTTCATTTTCCACCTTTGTATTTGGAGTTGTTGGGGTTGAGTTGGTTGGCATGGTTGTCCAGATCAGATTTGGTGCCAGTTCCAGTGTATCCCTTCTTATGACCCGCGTACTTTGGGTTGTTGGGATTGCACTGGTCTGCGTGGTTGTCCTTGTCCGCCTGGGTTCCAGTCCCCAGGTATCCCCTGCGGAACAAGAAACTTGGCTAATATTTTACACTTTATTATTTGTTCATACCCCATGATGAGTGACAGACGGCAGTGGTTACGGGTTGAAGTAAGCAGAGTTTGAGGCAATAATCAGTGGAGCGATGCAGCAGGCGAAAATATATGCGCACAGCGCTTGTTTACAATCCCATCTCTGCGCATGCGCACGTAAGTGTTATTGCTAGTTAAGTTGGCGGCCGGCCACGCCCTTATCGAAAAGGCGTTCGGGTACCTTCGTGAAGATCAGTAGAATCAGTGATGAAGTGGTTAGGAAAGAGCTCCCTTCTGTTGCCGGCTATCGTTGGACAAATCGTTCCTATTCTCTGCTTGAATCTCCAAGCTGGGACGGGAGGTATGTGCTTTCTATTACACAACCGATGTTCTATTATTATGCAATTTGAGATCATATCGTCGATCCGCCTGAATTACAACGTACGTATACCAAGGCGCTGCAGCAGGGATGAGACCATTGTTGGCTGGCACATGTAACACATGCACAGAATGTGAATTGCATGCAACCACCACCACCTGCATGTATAACCTGTCCAATCTCAACATTAGGAGCAATGCTAGTGGAAAGCTGGATTGAGCATAGTGAAGCTAGACATGCTACCGGCAGAATAAATTCAACTCTTCTTGTACACATTCAGAAAGTGTGACCAGTTTGGGATAAATTACAGTAACGTCTCTTGCATGCAGGGAACCTGAACTTCTTGACTCTGTCAAACTACACAACACTGCCGCGTAATCATGGTGCTGTCAGTGATCGCATCCCAACTAATGGAAATTTCTCTGCTGGAGCTTGGAACATCACCACTCTATATGTACGTGACTGCCACCAGTTATTACTCTGTGTGTTGTGGCTCATCGCCTCAATGGTCACTACTAGTAAAATAATGTATACTGTAGCAGTATAACTAAAAAATTGAGCTGACTTAACTGACATTGTGCCTTTTGTCAATTAACTACATACGAATATTAATACATACCTGCTTGTCACGTTGATTGTGAGAGGTCAAAGTTTCCAAGGGGGGGGAATCTTTTCCCTCCCTAAATTAAACTCTGAAATGACTGTTGCATGGCATTACTAGGAGAGACATCGAACTTTTAAGCAGACCAGAAGACCAGATATCATCTGCACATGCTAAAGGCATCTCATTAGTTCAGAACCACAAGCGCTGCGCCTGAGCAAAGCCTTTTGGGGATTAGTTCAAAACCACAAGTGCTGCGCTCAACTTTGCCTTTATAAACTGGCGATGCCAGAGAGAGAAGTTGCTATGCTTTGCTGATGAGGGCCAACAAGCCTGAAACAGCTGTCCAGAGCTCCACATCTTTTTCTCTCTTGGCATCACATGGTCTATTGTTACATGGGCCTTAATATTATACCTCACTCTTCATGTGTATAGTACTAACAAAACTAAGTGGAGTAGTACTTGACACTGCTAGTCTCTGTTATTAGACATGGAAGGCATGTTCTACAGTATCACCTTGTCCTAAAATTTGTTTGGTGTTCACATCTGAAAAATATGCCTATACAGTATTGTGAAGTACAAATGGGTGGTGGCTGTTACTACGTAGCTCTGCACTACTTCCTACTTCCCTGGTGTGGTTATATACTTGTGATTTCTTTTTCACACTGCAGGTAAACAGTAATGGTTTCATCTCGGTATATCCTGCTAAAAATTACAGACCTGGATTAATAAGGGACAACAACGAATCACCCATCATAGCCCCGTACTCAGCCCGGACTGACACCAGGCTATCAGGGAGTGTCCGGTTCACTCAGTTCACGTCGTACGATAGACTCCAGATGACTACTGTCAGTGACTTCATCAGATCCCACACCAATGACCCCTTCAGTGGAACTAGGATGATGGTCGTAGAGTGGAGGGACGTTGCTAAATATGGTGGATCTACGGTGAGTTTGTTAATGTGTAACAACAAATACCGACTTGCAGCAAATGAAAAATACAAGGACTGCAACTTTTTTGACGAGCGATGGTACTTAGTTTTCCCATTCACCAGAACCACTTCCAGTGAACTAAGTACACACTCAATGCATTTGACATGTTATTGTGGTACGTGTGTCCTGGTTTGTTTCTACCACACAGAGTACTACAAGTACGTTTCAAGCGGTTCTGATCACCAATGGGACGGACTCCTATGCAGTGTTCATCTATGAGTGTGGAGGGATGGAGTGGGGTGGGGCCGAGATAGGCTGGCAGGCTCCCAGACTCTACGGCAATAACAATGTCCAGGAAGCTCACTACCTCAGTGGTAGTGTTGAGTCAGCTGATATTGGGTGTCTCTATTCCAGCAACCACAGTGCCATTGTCTACAGACTATATAGAGGTTTGTCCACAGTAAAATTCCACGGAAGAGTAATTTTACTCCATCGGGCCTTTGCTTGCTTTGTGTATGTGTATATACTAACTAGGAATGCGCTCGCGCATATTTTGCCTCGTGCCTGCCAGCCAATGCGTAAACAGTCCGACTGAGGGCGCTCGTACGCGCGCTCTACTGACTGCGCGAGAAGCCAGACTTCTTACGAATCTGTGCGCACGGCGGAAGCTAGACTTCCTACGAATGATGGAAGTTACACTTGCTTTTGGTGACTAATTGACATTCTTAAGCGTGACCGACACGTACGTACACATATCGCGAGAATACAACCCGGAGTAGTTGCCTCGCGCTAATGCGCTCAGCAACTAGGGTGGACTCTAAAGATATTGACAGACTGTAGTGTTCTTTTTTATGGGCATTGTAATGCCCTCCAACACGCACGCTTATTTTTTTCAACATGATTGTGGTCTGCATATTAATAATATTTTATCTCTTGATCTGTGTATATAGCATGTGAAGCTTTTGATTGGTTGTGTGACTATGGCACTTGTGTGGCTGGGCAAAAGAGGTGCGACGGGTATCGTGACTGCAGAGATGGTACTGATGAACAAGAATGTGAAAACAGAGCATCTGCTAGTAAGAAAGTTGTCCACGACTAAAAATTGTACTAATAGGCAGTAGGCAGACTTGATTATGACTTATCACAATGACCACTTTTTTTCTACTATGACGAGCCACAAGTCTGTGCTTCAGCCAGCCATTTTCCCCCCAATTCAGTCCGAAGATGTGATTTCCAGTGTGACAACAGGAGGTGTTTGGGGCTGGTGTACACATGTGATGGTCGTGATGACTGTGGAGACGGCAGTGATGAACGAGATTGTGGTGAGTATGTGAGCAGCAGTGCCCGGTGACTTGCATGGAGTACACGGTACTGATCTTGACTGCAAGTATCAATGTACCAGCCTGTATACAGTCAGGTAGTAGTCATGTTCATTCTTACGTACACTGGAAGCCTCTGTGGAACAAAGCCTATATACAGTACCATTGGGACGCTGATACTAATGTTGTAACTTGAATTGGTTGTACGTATATTATGTATGTATATATATGTATGTAGTTTTCACATGCATATACTTGGCTTGGAGTTGGGCGTCATTGGTGGTTTAATTACCCCGGTCTGCTCCTACATACTGAGTGAGAGTATACAGTGCCATAGCACAGTGGTTTGAGGTTTGCCTTGTGTTGTGTTGTATTGTGTTGTAGATTCGAACCCCTACCAGCTGAGTTGCCTGGTAGCTCAGTTGGTAGAGCGCTCGCCTAGACTGCAGAGTGTCGTGGGTTCGAATCCCACCTATAGCTAGTGCAGCTCTTTATTTTTCCTTGGAAAAAAGAGCTGTCCTGGGTGTAGTTGATTTGTTTGTTGTGCCTTTGCTTTCTACCTCATAGTTTTCATTGGCTGGACCCCCAAGGCATAACTAGCTTTTGATAGTTAACCCTCGGTGCGCATGCGCGCAGCGAGGGTTACAGTAGTTACCCTCGGCGCGCATGCGCAGCGAGGGTACTGTAGTTGGGTGTGTGTGTGTGTGTGTGTGTGTGTGTCTGTTACTCTCAATCTCACTTCTCGAGTGTCTGTTCGTCTCACAAAGGATACGACCTACCTAACGGGCAATGAAGGTCCGAAATTTCGAACAGTTTTCTCTGAAAATGCTCCGTTGCAGAGCTAGAGCGCTTCCAGCCATTGTACGGCTAATGCGTAGTCGGCCATTTTTATCGCTGCGGAAAATGCGCATGCGCTTATATTTTGACACGGGCTCGGGTCCGCTTGCTCTGTCGTATCTTGAAGGCACAAGAAGTCACAACGAAGGGCGTGTATCGACTCTCGCATGCTATCTACTACTGTAGCTAGCCCGTGTCAGACTCTCTGCGAGCTACTAGCGGGAGACCACGAGTAAACGCATACTAATAGCAGCCCAGCCCATCAATCAGTGGTACCTCGCATGCCCAGTTCGCCGAGGGTTTGCACTTTAGTGCTTTTCATTGGGTCTGTCTGTCTGTTTGTCTGTTACTCTATATCTCACTCCTCGAACGTCTGTTCGTCCCAGAAACGATACCATCTACCCAACGGGCGACGAAGGTCAGAAAATTCGAACGGTTTTCCCTGAAAACGCTCCGTTGCAAAGCTAGAGTGCTTCCACCATTGTACGGCTAATGCGTAGTCGGTCATTTTTATCGCTGCAGAAAATGCGCATGCGCATTATATTCGACCACGTGGTGGAAAAGCGCCCATTTTTTTTCTCATTCGGTGAGAGAAGACGTTCTCCAGTTCCGTGAGTTTATCATGCCTCCAAGTAAGGTATGCCCACAGTGTGAAACTATTGTACCACTAAGGCTGAAAGTGTGTAAATCTTGCGAATATACCTTTCGAGCATGCCTAGCTGTCAGAACAGATTTGATGACAGTGTTTTGAAATCAAGAGGCATAATATAATAATTAATTCCAGATTATGACAGTGACCGATTCTAGTCAACATACAAATACAATCACGTGCACTGCTGCGCCGAGGGTTTTGCACTTCAGTGCCTTTCATTTTGATTAGTAGTGTATCTTCATTTCTGTCCCTGCAGCCACATGGACTTTGTTGATCTGCCAGTTGACTCAACTCCCACTGTTCCTCGTGGCTACCGATTGTCTGCGTCTGTTGACGTGGATCCTTTTCCTTTTGCACGTGACACCATTGACACCATATACGTATGTGAGATAATTTCTAGGAAACAATAAATAATTCTGTGCATTCTCATACCTTGTAATGCTAAGCACACATGGAACTCCCTACTCTATCTTGGCCGTAATATTGGAGATCAGGCTTTGAAGCATTATAATAGGCAGAGTTTTAAGCTACTTACAGCTTCGTATATGGCTACGGCCATGATGTTTGATCCAGGTGAATGTCTAATCTGACTCAATGAGGCCAACTTGGAAAATGCACATTTAACTTTTCAGGAGCTGCAAAAGCCACTAGCCAGCACCACTTTTAAATTGCTGCCTACGTATGTACCTACTATCTTTCTCAACAGGTTACTAACACAGGGCAGTTGGGAATGGGAAGCAACAATGTTAATCCGGCCAGAATCCCCAGTACCATACGGACTGTTGTTCCGTATAGCTACTACCTCAACATTAACACAACTTCTTCTGGCACTGTGCTGTACAAGAACTTCACTTCTCCTGATCCGGAAATATCCCGAATCAACGCCTTTATACAGTCCCAGGAGAATAGCAGTTTCAATGGAACGTACATGTTAGTGGCAGAGTGGAACAGACTTCCAGTTCCACTGTCTCGAGTGAGCACTCTTCATGTGCCTGCAATCTAGTGTTGTGTCTACCACACACACTTATATACTACGTACGTACTTACTTAAGAGTGAACGCTTCCACGTAACCGTTTAATCTGAGGCACGGCAAACATCGAAACTAGACTAGTGTATAGCCTAATGGATTGGTTTTGGAGGACATATAATTGACAATTTTGTATGCACGCCATAGGCATCACGCACTGTATAACTATTTTAGCCTCCAATTATTTGAGTTTCTAATTGGGTGCGAGTTATAGTCTCAAAGTTTAGGGTTGTGTGTAGTGAAAGGTATATATAGACAAAGGTAATTAGGGAAGCAGGCTGCCTGATTTAAGTGGTTGTATTGTTACTGTTTTTAAATGCACGGCTTGGATATAATATGTGCCCATATTTGCCATTTAGGACCTCATCAGCAAGAGTACATTTCAAGGCATCCTCATCACAGATGGCACTGCGTCATATGCCGTATTCATCTATGAGTGTGGTGGAATGGAGTGGGACTCAGCTGAGATTGGATGGACAGCTTCTTCCCGTGAGCATTACAGACGTCATCCCTATAGTGGAAGCTCGTATTCTAAAAACATTGGCTGTCTCTACTCCACAACATACAGTGCAGTTTTATACCAAATTGATGGAGGTATGTACATACATACATAGACAATGGTAGTTCAAATAGTATATTGTACATGATTGATTTTGAAAATGGCAGCAACAGTTGCATTTCGCCTGTGATTATTATTGGTGAGTAAAGCGAGCCTACCTAGTCGTCATCTCAGCGGGTGGATTTTCCTTTCTATCCGGCGACCCGGCCAATGATACGACACATACCGTGATGTTCTATGTGCTTCTGAGTACACGCAAAAATGTGGGAAACTAGCACCGTGACCATCGTCGTGCAAAACAAGCACGAAATGGTAATTCAACTGCTTGCACCGCGCTTAATGTTCTATGTGATGTGCCCGAAATATTGACCTGCTCGCGCTTGCTCACCGAACAATGTGTTGCATTCCTCTGGTATTGTGATGGAAGATATATACATGCTTGAAAGCAGTCACCTGGGAGGCAGACTGCCTGATATTATGCACACTAAGCTAATACCAAATTAGGACAGTCATTGCTTAAAACAGAAGCCATTGAGAAGCTGCAAATTGCCTGAGCATCACTCTAGCTATACTAGATACACATCTATTAGTTCTGATGCAGTGCATTTGTTGGCAAGTGGAGCAAGTGAACAAAGTCATGCAGCCCTGGTTGAGGCAGATCTCTACTTGACGGGCATTGCATACCACGTGCTAGCCTAGAACCATGTGCAAAAACACACGTAATCTTGGCCGCCAAGCTGTACACGAGGCTACTCGGCATTGCCTAGTCTTCTCTCTCATGGGGGCTCAGTTTTAATCAGTGGTGTTTTGACTGGTAGGAACTCCTTGATTTAAGCTCAGTCATCATACTCTGTGCTGTGATAAAGTGTAAATCCCTCTAGTAGTGTACAAGTCCTTTAAAAGCTGTTTGTTCCTGGTACTAGTAACTGTCTATGTTTTGTTGCTGTATTTCAGAGTGCAATGCCAAGGACTATGAATGCCCCAATGGATGGTGTCTGGAGAAAGAAAAGGTCTGCAATGGAGTCAATGACTGTGGAGACGGAACCGATGAACAAGATTGCGGTATGCTTACCTTTCTGAAAAGTTGGCAACCTGATGCTAAAGCCATATAATTCCTCTTTGTGAATAATGGTTACGCTTTGGTTGACTTACAAAATTTGGTATAGAATGGAAAAGTACTAAGTGCAAACCCTCGGTGAACTGCGCATGCGGGATACTGCCAATTTGATGGGCTGGGCTATTAGTATGCATTGTACTCATGGTCTCCCACTGGTAGCTCGCGGAGAGTCTGACATGGCTAGCTACAGCAGTAGATACCATGCGGGAGTCGATACAGCGACTTTTGTTGTGACTTCTTGTGCCTTCAAGATACACAGAGAGAGCGAACCCGCTCTGTTCTAATTCTAGCATATTGGCTTTTTCGCTCGTGTTTCACGCCATAACTCTCGAACACAGCAGTTTCAGAGAAACCCTACATACCTTTCGGCCTATTCCCGACGCTGAATACCTGGTATTGTTTGTCGAGCGATTCATTGCTCGTGAACAGTGAGATTTGGGCTGACAGCAGACAGACAGACACATACGACAACTACAAGGGACCCTTGCTGCACATGAGTGCCGAGGGTTACAATTTCTCTGCAACTATTTCTCAGGGTGCAGCTCTGATCAGTTCACATGTGAAAATGGTGATTGTTTACCCGAACGAGTCAGATGTGATGGAGCTGTCCATGTGGTGATGGGAGTGATGAGAAAGATTGCGGTATGTTTTCTGTGCTACATACGTGCCTGATCTCTTCCGTCTGTGATGCCGTGAATACTCGTCCACTCTGTTGCTGTAGGCTGCAGCTTTGTTTGTGAAAATGGAAAGTGTTTGGAGCTGCTCCTGGTTTGCGATGGTCACAATGACTGTGGGGATAATAGTGACGAAATAGACTGCGGTAAGCAATGTGTCTTTTGATGGAGTTCATGAGTCTGACATTACCTGCTTGTTATTCGCACACTTCACACTGACAGGCACTTGGAGTTTGTGAATTTTTCATCCAGCTCTAATTTCTCGTATCTGATCACCTGCTCTCACCGCCTGATCCCGTGTCAATGAATGCCTTCCGGTTTGGCCACAGCTACATAGACCATGTCTATGTGAGTGTCACTGCTGCATACAATCAAGTTTTGTGTCAGTAAATAGCTAGTTCCTATTCTGTGATCACAAAGACATACACCGTGTAGTGTAAAACACAGTGGTAAGACAGATTACTTTCATCAGCTGTGCCCCTTTAGCACCCTGAATGCATGGAGCTTCTCAGAGGATTGAGTTGATGGTTGGTGGCTTCTGGATATTATATTGCTAGACCTAAAATCGGAATTATGACACGTTTTTATAGCGACACTCTTCCACGTTTTAAAATATTTGGGACGTCTCGAGTATACTGACTGTTATTACGTAGGTGTCACCTTGGGGAGCGTTTCTGTGTGGGAGAGATCTACAGATATCCAGTCGATGTGCCAGGTTTCATCAAAGCAGTTGCTCCATACAGCTACTATATTGACAGAGGTGCACACGGGACAGTGTTCTACCAGACATTGAGTCCCCAGACAGAGCTAGACAGAGTCAGCGCTTTCGTGGAGTCCCAGACTGAGTACTACTTCAATGGCACCTCAATGATTGTAGGGGAATGGACCAAATACACGTGGGGCTTTTTACTTCTGTGAGTAGTGAAAAATAGATTTTTAGGGTGTTTTCATTTCTCATAAGTGTAACTGTTTTAGGCCCTTACCAAACACGTTTCAAGGGATAATAATCACTAATGAGACGACCTCCTTTTGCCGTCTTCATCTATGAGTGTGGAGGTATGGACTGGAGTGGAGCTGATATAGGCTGGGTCGGATCGTTTTACCTCTATGAGAAGCATCCCTACGGGAAGACGCTATTCTAAAGACATGGGATGCCGCTATTCCACCACATACAGTGCATGTCTACAGACTGGACAGAGGTACGTATATAATACGTATGTACCAACCACTGTATGAGCAATTGTGGTTTGAGAAGAATTTGTGTGTAACGAGTGTTAAACAGAAAAGAGATTAGTGTATAGGTTTTCATAATAGCGATCCATTATCCAGTGATTGGTTATTGCTGCACCTGCCAGAATGCACGCCGTTTGAGTTTCCCTGTGGTAACGGGTACTGCAAGAGTATTTATGATGTGTGCAATGGCAATAATGACTGTGGAGACAACAGCGATGAAGCTATTTGCAGTGAGTATCACATTACATGTCACTTATAAGTAATTCCCTCACTCAACCTCATTAGGTAGGAATAACAGGGAAGTAATATGAACTAGCCCATGTATGGTTCAGCGTATTTCTTATGTTTGTGTAAGGAAAGCGTAAACTACTTGTTGATTTTCCCCCGAACAGATTACATTTCGGATTCAGGACAAACAAATCCAATCAGACTGATCGTTGATGGAGCTCCATCCCCAACCAACGAAGGGACTGTGGAAGTGTATTACAAAGGCATATGGGCCACCATCTGCTATGAAAACTGGGACTTCACTGATGCCGAGGTGGCTTGCCGCATGCTAGGGTTTAGGACCGCCATCCAAGTCCACAGGTAGTACATGTGCACCTGATTCAATATGTGTAGTGTTGTTAGGGCATATTAAATTAGTGATGCATACGTACATACGTACAAAACGTCCAAAATACAATGATACAGTGATAGATTTGCGAACTGTTTGGCCCAAACTAGTTTTAGATGCTGATTGCAGTCCAGTGGGGCGGCTACATAATTATAAGCATGTTACCCATCAGCAGTGTCCCGTACGTATATCCATACAGATCTATTTTCAGTCCAAACCGTGGATATGTTGTGGGTCTTGACTGTGTGGGGACAGAGAGTGAGCTGAGACAGTGCAGATTCAGAGGCATCCTGGTGGGCCGACAGTGTAGATTTGGATATGCCGGTGGTGTCTCATGTACCAGTGAGTTGGCTTTGTGCATCTTTGCTGTGTAATGACCCCTTCTTTCTTCCTTTTTGGTGCTTCAAGCAATTCCTATACCCCCTTCATTTTGATTTTTCCACTTGTATATATAGCTATAGCCAGTGTCAGGCTCTCAGCAAGCTCTATATATAATATATACAGTCTACTCATGTGAAATAGTGTTCATGATTTAATTTCTGGTCTAATGCACACAATACAGACGACTCGGAAGCAGCTGAGTATCCAGTTCGTCTGGTTGGTGGGAGTGGTCCTCATGAAGGTCGTGTTGAGATCTACTACCATGGAGTATGGGGCACAGTGTGTCGAAATATGTGGGGTATTGAGGATGCTAATGTAAGTTTATGAGTACAAGTGGAAAAATCAAAATGAAGGGGGATATAGGGATGACTTGAAGCACCAAAAAAGAAGAAACATGGGGTCATTACACAGCAAAGATGCACAAAGCTACATGACACCATCCCTATATCTTTGTTCTATGATTATTAAACTTTGCTTATAAAATAAAACAATAAAACAAAGATATAGGGATGGTGTCATGCAGCTTTGTGCATTGTTGCTGTGTAATGACCCCTTGTTTCTTCCTTTTTGGTGCTTCAAGTCATCCCTATATCCCCCTTCATTTTGAAGAAATGATTTTTCCACTTGTTTCCACTATTTGTAACAGCTAATGACAACACTGCATTTTATTGTTAGTCACTGTGGTGTTCATGGGTATGCTGTAGAACTCTGTTGAAAGCAGTAGCTAATGGGCTGCTAATGCTTGAAGCAGGGGCCAGATACCCCATTCACCTCATGTATTGCCTTCAACAAGGATGTACGTAATTAGGGTATTGCACATGGTTGTGGTTTCATGGCCAGGCTTTGGTAATTAGGCTACAACCTGGGGGGAGACAAACAATAAAGGCCCACGTGAGCGCCCCGCTAGGTTCGCGTAACACCGCGCCGACTCTGCCAAGTTGGTCCTCGTACAAATCAGCAGCAAGCTAAAATGTGCATACTTACATACTTACAGAAGGAACTGGAGGCTGAGACTTCCTCTGCAGGTCTGTCAACTCGCCTGCTATATTATGCGCGCACAGCGCATTGGACAACGCCCCTGCCTGGCGCATGCACGCGGCTCACTGATGCTGAGTTAGCAGCAAATGGCGTTGTTCAGTGTCGACCATGGAAGAGCTCCGTGATCTACCGTAGTGACTTGCGGTAAGAAAAAAACGATCGCTTGATGTCCGTGCACACCTCCGGCGAAATTGGACACATTTGGACCAGGCATTTTGTCCTTTATAGGGAGGTTGCCCTCTCTCTGGGGGTTAAGAATAATTGAGAAGCGAACCTTTGGTACCTTAAAAAGTGGGTCCTTGTTTTAATGTCCTTTGTTCGGAGTATCCTTTAATGGAGGTTCTACTGTTGTTGCCTCCATCTCATCCTGCTGCTCTAAGTCTAAGAAGCACAGTCGATGTTCTCCTATTATGTATGTGTACATACAAACTCCCAGGTGGTATGTCGGCAGCTGGGGTTTTCTAAGGCAACCAGAGTCGTAGCCTGGAATGAGTTTCGAGGGGCTGTGGGACAGATTTGGTTGGACAGTGTTGGCTGCAGCGGCTCTGAGGAGTCACTGGACATGTGTGGCCACATGGGCTGGGGTGACCACAATTTCTGCTCACACTCTCGGGATGCAGAAGCAGTATGTGAAGGTATGTATGTACTACATGTGTAAACTTTACTCCTCAAGCTCTACCTACGTATGTAGTAGACAGGCGAGATAGAAAATGAGACGGTGTGTAGCTACAGTGATTTAGCATGGCTAAACGCAACCCTGCAAGGGCGTAGGACTAGTTTCATTTATGGTGATGTGTGATGGTAGCTATAAATACACAAATCCTGGTGGTAATTTTAGCACTGCAAATTGTTGTTCATTATTACAAACTTTGTTTAGGGTATGACGGGAGATATAGACCAGTCCGTCTTGTGAATGGGTCGACTGAGTTTGAAGGTCGTGTGGAGGTCCGACTGCAGAATGAGTGGGGGAGTGTGTGTGGGGACGGCTGGGACCAGAGGGATGCTGCTGTTGTCTGCAGACAACTGGGCTTTGCCAGTGAAGGAGCTGAACCTCTTCTGTCTGCTTACTATGGGGAGGTACGTATATACATACATATAGGCATTTCATTCAATCTATTAAGATTCAATGGTGACAGTGTGCATAAATACGGATGCTAGTCGGTTAATGTACAAACCTTGAATGTAATGTCGGTTCAAATTTACAAACCTTGAATGCAGGGTTCCGGTCTTATAATGTACAAAACTTGAATAAGAGTCATTCACATGTAGGGTTCTGGTCTTATAATGCTGAGTGAAGTGGAGTGTACTGGACAGGAGCTCTATGTGACAGACTGTCCAAGCTCTGGATACTACCAACACAACTGTAATCACTCGCATGATGTTGGAGTTCGCTGCTCTGGTGAGGTGGCCCGAGTTGACTTTATAATTAAACCCTCGGCGCGCATGCACAGCGAGGGTTGCAATACTCTCTGTCTGTCTGTCTGTCTGTCTGTCCACTAGTGATTCTGGCACTACGGAGTACGAGGCGACCAACGAGCAATAACAAAGGCTTCAGAACTACGCGAGCCTGAAAAATACAATGGAAATTTTTTCCTGAAACGACTGCGTTCGTGAGATATGCTGTGAAAACAAGCGAAAAAGCCAATATGCAAACTCGCACCTCAACCTCCGTTCGTTCAGTGTATGTTGTGTATATATAATACCTTGGAGGCACAAGAAGTCACAAGTAAGGGCGTGTATCGACTCCAGCATGCTATCTTCTAGAGTAGCTAGGCCCGTTTCACCCGACCTGTGTATACCACCAGTAAACACATGCTCAGGCAGAACCCATCAGTTAGCAGTACCGCGAATGAGCTGCACGCCGAGGGTTTGCACTTGTCAGTATTTATATAAGCCCTTAAGCGTGATGTACTGTACGTGTATGTTGATATAAAACGAGGTTTGCGTTTTAATAAAAAGTGATTAATAATATCACATTGAAAGTCAGTGTAGCCTATTGAATAGATTAGATGGTGATGTGCACGTACGTATCTTGTGCAAGTTTCACTGTCGTATAACTCAACGCAGGTCGTATTCCAGAGTCAAGGTTTACCAACCCTATATGCCTGGTGGTCAATGGGAGTCATTTGTCTCAAAACAAAGGCACGATTGAGATTTACGACAATGGAACATGGAGCTCCATCTGTGACATCAACTGGAGTTTTGCTGATGGCATGGTAGCCTGCAGAATGCTGGGATTTAGAACTGCTAACGATGTCCACCATGGGTAAGACAAAGATTAGCGAAGCTAACGCACCAAAATAACTCATGGGCCCATCCCTAGCTACAAAAATGTACATTATGTATATAAATTCCCTATGTGTTCATACCCGAACCTGCCTTCAGTTTTCCACACTAGTTCCGCTCACACACAATTTCACAATTATCAACCATTAATCCTCTCTTCTTATTCAGTAAACCTACGTATTGTATCTTTACCAAAACCAGTTAATGTGATAGTTACATCACTAAACATTTTAGAGTTGATAGAGGCATCCACAGACATTGAGTTGTCATTGTACTAAAACCCATGTTTTGTTAGTATGTAGGGGTGTAGATTTGTAGTTCAAACCACTTGTTTGCCGGGTCGGCCTTGGGAAGCATTGTTGCTACTCTGTGCGACGCTCTAGCTATAAGAATACGTATACTGCACCATTGACTGCAGACAGTGCTTTGTGAAGCACCCAGCCATTCTGCATGAGAGTGCCTAAGCTAAACATGTACGTATGTGTGATTGGGTATCTGGATATAGTGAGCTGTAGCCATATACATGCATACGTTGTCGCTGTGCTCTATAACATTTTGCAGGAGTGAGTCAGGATGCGCTTACAACAGCTATAAGGGACTATAATTTGATGTACGAGGTTTAACTTGATAATTGACCCTATGCAGATCTCATTTTGGTGCTGGACGTTTTAACATTCTTCTGGATGGTGTGCAGTGTGCTGGAGACGAAGATGAGCTGATAGATTGTCGACACAGCCAGCAGCTCAGCCGCAACTGTCATGACCATACAAAAGATGCTGGTGTTTCCTGCACTAGTGAGCTAGTACTACACACTGTACATCATTACTAGAAGGTGAATGCAGGGCATTTTTGGCGAGCAGGGACGAGCACACAATGACTGTATCTGCACGAGTCATCCTAGGTTTTTTACAAAATTTCACCTTACATTCGAGGCCCTGTCTAGCCAGGAAGAGAACCGTCGTCCATTCGACAAGATTCGCTGCATTCTTCGGTGCCTGAATGAGGCTGTATATACCTCTTTCCAATCTTCGTGGTTGAGGATCTGGGCAGTGTGTACAAATTTTTTCGGATAAAAGGAAGCACGTAATCCAAACGCATGCGCAGTTTAATGATCGTGCCGTTCGGACCACTAGGATAGCTCGCTCCCACTCACCTACATGTTAGTGATAATTATCTGCTTCTGTGTTGTGTTATCATGTGATTGTGTTGGTTTGTGTGACCTGAAACTGTGCAGATGACACGGCACCAGTCCGTCTGGTTGGTGGGAATGGTCCTCATGAAGGTCGTGTTGAGATCTACCACCAGGGACAGTGGGGCACTGTCTGTGGTTATTGGTGGGATATCATAGATTCTCAAGTGAGTGTTATAAACACAGTACATACATGAGAGAAAGAGAATCACCATCACTACTTGAATCTCGGAAATACCCACAAACTGAATACAAATACTCAAACTATTTTTATGTACATCAGATGGGGACACCAGAAGCTAGCCTTTAGAACTTGGGCAGTGGGTAGCTACAATGTAACGTGTGTGTGTGTGTGTGTGCTAGTTGTATGCTGCTTGAGGTAACTCCAAGCAACGTACGTAGCTACCTGAAATCTGAAGGTGATGTCCATTAATACCACAACTACGTAGTCTCAAGAGCGGCATTGATGCGGATGAACCTGTACCATCATGTAAAATGAGTTGTCCATGTTATGCAGATAGCAAGAGCTGAGACATTTCTCCTTGCATTAGTGATCAGGAGGGGGATACCATCAACCCAGATGGGGATAGTTGCGCTCTCCACAGCTATAGCACAGCTACGTATAACCGTGTCATGTTTACTTGTTTGTAAACTTAGTGTGCTCACTAGGTTTTATGCTTAGCAAGTGCTGTGAGCAGTTTCTTGCATGTGGATATTTTACTGCGGTGTACCAAAGGCTCAATGACGAAGTGGGTGATGGCCGTAGGCTATGTCACTGATGAAACTCCATGTGTTTTCATTTACAGGTGGTCTGTAAGGAGCTTGGCTATCCCCGAGCCACTGAAGTCACATACTTTGGAAGGGGAACTGGAGCAGTTTGGCTTAGTTATGTTTCCTGTACTGGACTTGAAAGCTCACTGGATCTGTGCGTGCATGGAGGTTGGGGCAGAACCTCTTTCTGTGGACGTGCAGGCGTTATTTGTGAAGGTAAAACACTGCTGTTTACTCTCTGCAATCTTTTTGAACTTATATTGGAAGTTATATAGGTTTATATTTACTGTCTGACAATTTGAGAACCGGGTAAAAGTGTTCTATGCAACACTTCTCAACTCAGGTATGACGATAAGTACTGGGACCACCGAAATACCCACCCACGTGCAATTATTATGGTTGCACGCTCAGAAAAATGTGCTGCATCATGGTATATAGTAGCTCCTCACAGGATCGCGCGAGTATTCTCTAGAGTTTAGGTGCTTAGCATCATGGCTGAACAATGGTGTTGGAGCGGGGCTGGCTACCGTTCGCTAGGCAGATTTGTTCCGGACTTTTGCTCTGGGAGTTTCAGATGGAAATGTGTCTTTTCTCAATCCTATCAAATGGTGGAGGCGCTATATATGGTCGGAGAGGGCAGGGTATAGGCAAAAGTCATGCCGTGTAGGATTCCGTTTTTGGTTTTTCAAGCCTCACACGCTAGGCTTGCGATCTAGCATCACCACAATTTGATAGAATGAAGTAAACTTCCTTAGAGGAGGACGTTACTGGGTTTCTATAATGGCGTCTACAAGTCCGCCTTTTGCATTTTAGGTTCCGCGAGGCATCAACTCTAATTAGCTACATCCCATAAACACATAAGTGGGCGGGGCTTACATATTGCCACACCCCTTATCTTTGAATGAATCATTGGTATGAACTTTGTTTCCCTTTCATGGGATGTAGTATGACTGGGTAATAAGAGCTCAGTTACTGCTATTTTGAGACACATTGTGCTTGTACCCAGTCCTTAACAATGCTGAGAACTCTATTCTAGTCTAACCCTTTTAAATTTACACTTTTTACTTACAACCCTACATATGTCGCAGCGTGGTTGTATAGATAATAATCACTCAGTTTATTTGCACGCCCAAACAAATACACTGTCCTTATTTTCTTTATGCATTCTTCTGTGCATAGCTTACGACTTTGTGTGCGCCAGTGGAGGCGGTGTCTCTCAGTATCTTGTCTGTGATGGTGTCGGTGACTGCCCTGACTCCAGTGATGAAGAGAGATGTGGTAACACACTCTATACTCACACAATGACACAGTGTTTTTCATCTACTGAAAGGGTAGAGGGATATTCTTTCCAACTGCCTCTCAGTCAAGCCACCAATTTCATCCTCTAAGTATATACTGCCAGTATACAGAATCAAAGGGGATGTGTGTCAGTACATAAGGACTAAATTTAGAAGTGTTGCTAGAGTACTAAACAATGGGGCCCAGTGCATGCAAGAATGCAATAAGGTTTCCGTTTTTAGTAACAATTTCTAAATTTAGCCCTTATTCACTGCCACATTCTAAACCCTCACAGAGTGATATGAAAACTAAGCACTGAGTTGCACACCTCCCTACCAGAATCACATTATCCCCTTTTCTACGAAGGAGCGTTTTGACACTAAATGTTTGATCTCCCTACTCCAGTCTATTTACCTGAGACCCCAGTTCGTCTGGTGGGTGGGGGTGGTCCTCATGAAGGTCGTGTTGAGATCTACTACCAGGGACAGTGGGGAACTGTCTGTGATGATGAATGGGGTTTTGTGGAAGCAGGAGTAAGCACAAACTATTTTGGAGTTTTGGGTACCTCACCACATTTTTTTAACTTCATGGGTTGAATGATACTACATATGCCTACGTAGGAACAGGAAACTTTTTTTCTAATTCTTAGGCATTGTATAGTTCGGGTCCCATACATTTATATAGGAGCGGGAAAATGTGCTCATGCATTCATGCATACGTATGCAATTGGTTATGCCACTGCACCATTGTAAATACACATACAACATAAGCCATGACGTCTGATACGCATCTTTAGGCATTTTAACTGCTGTCTACTGCCTGCTATAGAACAGTGATGTTTTTGTCTCGGAAAGATGCTACATGTCTAGTAAAATCAGTACAAAGTAGGCTTGGAGATACGTAGTCCTTCCCATTATTTAAACGTTAGCATGTGAGGAATGTGTGATGTTATGTTATCAGCAGAGGGGATGCAGTTGTCCAATTTGTTCACTTCTGAAGATCAAAAAATGTTAATATTTTAGGCTAGAAGCTTGCCACTTTATACGAGCATGCATAGCGAGATATGTGCATAGCCTGAATTCTTTGTAATACACAAAACTGTTCTAATAGAGAAGAAGGATCCTCACATTGCTGGTGCATTGATTCACAGGTGGTGTGTAGGCAGCTTGGCTATGCGGGTGTGTGGTTTCCAGCGGTTGGAGCTGCCTATGGAGAGGGAACAGGGGTGATTTGGGATGTGAACTGCAGAGGATTTGAGAGCTCATTGGATGTGTGTCTACATAACTCGTGGGGTAGTCACAACTGTGACCACTCTCAAGATGCAGGAGCATATTGCCAAGGTTAAAACCTTACCTGTATGTATGTCCATGTATACAGTACTCTCTCTCTTCTTGACATGAGACTGTTTTCCAAGATTGTTGTCACTGAAGCTTACTACCATATGTACTAGGAATGCGCACGCGCATATTTTGCCTGCGCCTGCCAGCCAATGAAATGCAACACAGTTTGCAGCGGTGAGCCAGCTTTGCAGCACGCGATCAAACAACAGCGCTCACCCTTTTGGCGGCCAAAGAGTTTGTCCACTGCCCTTTATTGACTGTGCGTATATACCTCAGTCCGACGAGGGGCCGCTCGTGCGCGCGCTCTATATACTGACTAGACTGCGCGCGAAGCCAGACTTCCTACGAATCTGCGCGCACGGCGGAAGCTAGACTTCCTATGAATGACGGAAGTTACACTTCCTTTTGGTGACTAATTGACATTCTTAAGCGTGACCAACACGTACGTACGCATATCGCGAGAATACAACCCGGAGTAGTTGCCTCGCGCTAATGCGCTCGGCAATTATAGACAATAACTAGATTTTATATTGCATATAAACAGTTAGCCTAGTTCCTAGGCATTCCTTGAGAAGAAAGCTACATACTTGTGTAGACCGTTTGCAGGCTACGTACTTCGTGCCCACTGAATGTGGGTGTGCCTACCTCACCTAGGTTCCTATTCATCGGCCACATACATAATACGTCTGCATGCAGGTTTTTACATTCATACATATATAACACTGTAGGCAATGCCAGGGGTATTTGACAGATGGGGAGCGAGCCTAAATGGCTGGAATAAACCACAATAGTACATACTAATCATAGAAAACAAATTTATGACTATATACTTTATAGTTATATAATATGTACAGTACAGTATGTATGCCTTAGACTTAGTTGTGATAATACGATAATTTGTGTTTTATTTTGTATACGTAGACACAAAACCTGACACAGGGCCACGACCAGTCCGTCTTGTTAATGGCTCGACAGAGTTTGAAGGTCGTGTTGAGATCCAGCTCCAGGGTCGGTGGGGGAGTGTGTGTGGAGACGGCTGGGACCAGAGGGACGCTGCTGTTGTCTGCAGACAACTGGGATTTGCCAGTGAAGGAGCTGAACCTCTTCTGTCTGCTTACTATGGGGAGGTCAGCTGGCTTAAAACACCAAAACACGATGGTGTGTGTGTGTGTGTGTGTGTGACAGTGGCAATAGATAAATCACTCATTCAGACGACTAGCACATACGTCGGCTCACTTTCCTCACCTTGCATATCTAGTGACCACTTCAGCCTCCAGTCTCCATAGAAAGAGTGCGTTTGAGGTGCAGGTCAGGTTGCTTCAGTAGCATGGAATGAGGACTAAACTAACAAAGACTGAAAATTCACAAAAAATGATCGGTGCTGCAGACACATGAGTATAAATCTATTACTCCATGCCATAATGACGTACCTACAATGTTCTAAATTACCTGGTAGGGCTATGGTCCGATAATTCTGGATGATGTCGAGTGCACAGGACTAGAAACTTATCTCACAAACTGTCCAAGTTCCGGATACTACCAGCACAACTGCAACCGCTCCCAGGATGTGGGTGTCCGCTGCTCTTGTGAGTCAGTTTGCAATACCTAGCAAATGAAAAGCACTAAAGTGCAAACCCTCGGCGAACTGCGCATGCGTGGTACCACTAATTGATACCACTAATTGATGGGCTGCATATACTCGTGGTCTGCCGCTATAGCTCGCGGAGAGCCTGACACGGACTAGCTACAGTAGTAGATAGCATGCGGGAGTCAATACATGCCCTTCATTGAGACCTTTCAAGATGCACAGAGCAAGCAGACGCGGTCGAGGTAAGCCTGTGCTAATTTGCATATTGGCTTGTTCACTTGCTTTTCACGCCATAACTTTTAAACGCAGTAGTTATACAAAAATCACCTTTTTTAAAATGAAGCCAGTGTAGCGACGAACCCGTTAGTCACAGAAAACGTGGTAACAGACAGACAGACTGACAGACAGAAACACACAGACCAAGTACGGTAACCCTTGCTGCGCATGCGCGCCGAGGGTTAACAACCACAGACTGCAATTGATGCAAAGACTCACATTATTGTGTATACATCTGTCTGGATTGAACATTTGTGCAATGTTCATACATCAGTTAATGCTCATGCAAGTAAAGCTACTTAACACTGCCAATACAATGAAAAGCACTAAAGTGCAAACCCTCGGCGGTAAACTAGCGAGTTGTAGCATCGCTGTATGCTGGGCCGTGCGTCATCGACGGAGCCAGTAACACGAGTCTCACCGTAACACAGGGTAGTTGCATTAGCGGTTAGAGCAATAGCTCAGGTGCTTCAGAGGCTCTCATATTTGCTTTATTCAATCTATCCACTCTTCTGTGTTTCAATGCTCTCGCCAGACGTTTTATAGATGGGAAGGCAAGGCCGCAACCACAAACTGCTCGCCACCTGAACTATTATGCTACATTGCGAACATACCTTGCTCAGCATGTTTATCGTTTATCCATAGGGAACAGAGATCAAAACTGACAGGAGGCCGTGGATCGAATATACAACCAACGTGGCGTAGCGCATGCTCCGGCGATTAATTGACATGACGCGTGCGCGCTATATAGCTAGCCTGCAGGAGAGGGCGCGTGCGCGATCGACTGCGCGTTGGCTTTTTCGCTTGTTTTCACGCCATATCTCTGGAATGCAGTCGTTTCAGGAAAATCGCCACATTAATATCCATCTTCTCGTTGTTCACAACCAGTTGGTGCCACTCATTGGCCGCCTTGTAGCCTGTAGTGCGAGAATTCGCGCGGACAGACAGACAGACGACAGAACGACTACTGTAACCCTCGCTGCGCATGCGCGCCGAGGGTTAATAATATCAATATCTAGCAATCTGACGACTGGCAGCAATTTGCTTTCGTCTTTAGCACACAACTCTAAGATGTTGGAGTTGAGCATATACATACGTTATAGTGTTCTCTGCAAAACTAATGAACACACGCTACAGCCTATTTCAGTGAGTGACTTTGTCCTTTTTTCCATTCTATTCTGCACACATGTACAAAACACAGCTCATGTTCCAGAGTCTGAGTTTTCCAATCCTATTCGTCTGGTTGTGAACAGCACCACCTTATCAGTACACGAGGGAACCATAGAGATCTACTACAACCACAAATGGAACACCATCTGCGACGAAAATTGGGATTTCCCAGATGCACTTGTGGCATGCCGTATGCTTGGATTTAGAACTGTTGCCCAAGTCTATGCAGGGTAATTTTAAAGTGACATTAACAGTACTTTACAAAGGGCAGTGTGAACGTTTTCTTGCCTTGTGAATGTAACACCATCTAGCGAGTCAAAAAAGAGAAGAAGGGAGTGCTCATAGCCTCGTGAAGCTGCCCATTATACTATTTCATTAATGTTAATATGATTTTGTTGCCACAATTGCCATTCAAAGTATAGGGCTACATATGTTGTTTGCAGAGCCTTTTTTGGTGCTGGACATCAAAACATTCTTCTGAGCAACATGAGCTGCACAGGAACGGAGCATGAGCTGATAGAGTGCCGTCATAACGGATATTTCAACAACAGCTGTATCCACAGACTTCATGATGCCGGTGTCTCCTGCACTAGTGAGCTACGTAGCTACATCCTGTCACCCTACATTAAAGGGAATGTGGCAGTAAGGGCTAAATTTAGAAATTGTTGAAACCTAATTGCATCCTTGCACTGGCCCATTGTTTAGTTCTATCTTTAGTTACATTTCTAAATTTAGCCCTTATGTACTGACGCATAGCCTTTAATGTTTGCATCTGTAGCTTACCTACTATATGTAGCTATGTCCAGGTGGCTCGCAAACGATCCCAATCAATGCTTCAACATATTGATGTACCTTATGATAGTGCGCTTGTTTTGTATGTTCTGCCATGGTATGTACAGTCATTTCAATAATGGTGTGAAGACACTCCTACTGTTGTACAGGTACAGACATGCATTTCACATGTATAGTCATTGACCTGGAATTGTACCGAAACACAGATGACAGTGCAGCCCCAGTTCGTCTGGCAGGTGGGAGAGTTCAACATGAGGGTCGTGTTGAGATATACCTCCAGGGAGAGTGGGGGACAGTCTGCGGGTGGACTCTAAATGATGCAAATGTGAGTCAGTGATTTGCAACCACAGTAGCTATAGGATTAACATTATGACACTGAAAATCCTGGACTTTGATTTTGTACGCTGCGGAGCATATGGAATAGCTCTGAACTTGGAACATATTACCTCATGTTTTATTACCCTCGGCGCGCATGCGCAACGAGAGTACGGTAGTTGGGTCTGTCTGTCTGTTACATTACGTACATATCACTTCTCGGGTGTTTGTTCGTCTCACAAAGGATACGACCTACTTAACGGGCAATGAAGGTCAGAAATTTCAAACTGTTTTCTCTGAAACTGCTCCGTTGCAAAGCTAGAGCACGAAAAAGCCAATATGCAAATACACAACGGACGGGACGGCTTACCACAGTCTGATCGATCCGCGTGCTCTGCGTACCTCGGAGGCACCAGAAGATGCAACGCAGGGCGTGTATCGCCTCTCGCATGCTATCTAGTAGTGTAGTTAGCCCGTGTCAGACTCTGCGCGAGCTGGCAAGAGACCACAAGTAACAGCTAAAACTAAACCCAGCCCATGCGTTTACTTACGCGTGCGCATCACAATGTGCCGAGGGTTTGCACTTCAGTGCTTTTCATTCCACACAGGTTGCATGTCGTCAGTTGGACTATAGATCAGCCACTACGACTGGATACTTTGGAGCTGGACCTGCAGATATTCTCCTTCAAGTGTCTTGTGCAGGGTCAGAGGGTTCGCTGGACCTGTGTCCCCACAGAGGGTGGGGTGTCCACAGCTGTCGCGAGAGGGAAACTGCTGGAGTAGTGTGTGCAGGTTAGCAACCACTGTGCAATATGTAGACTACGAGGTAGACGGGCAAACGCACAACAAACAAGTCAACTTTCCAAGGAAAGAAGAAGAGCTGCCGTGGGTGGGATTCGAACCCACGACACTCTGCAGTCTAGGCGAGCGCTCTACCAACTGAGCTACCAGGGCAACTCAGCTGGTAGGGAGGGGTTTAAATCTTCAACACAGTAAAGCACATGTACATGTTCAGCACTCAGCTTCATTTGTTAGCTGATGTACGTATAATATAGAGAATGAAGTGATCATCATTGTATGATACACCCTTTGGTAGGATGTGGATTGAACCAGTTCACCTGTGCAAGTGGAGGAGGATGTGTTCCCCTGAGCTCTGTCTGTGATGATCATCCTTTTGACTGCCAGGACAACAGCGATGAAATTAACTGTGGTACGTTTGTACGTATATACACACAGTCTGGTTTGTTTGTTTTGATCCATGTGTAAACTACGAGGTAGAAAGGCAAAGGCACAATACACAAGTCAACTACTTGTACGTCTTATTATCACAGGTTGTGAGTTTGAATGTGCTGCTGGGGACTGTGTGCCTCTTAGCTCAGTCTGTGATGGTGTTACTAACTGCTCTGATTCAACTGATGAAACTGAGTGTGGTAAGACATAATATGCAAAACCCTAATGCTAATTGTTACGAGTTAAGCAGAATTGCATACATGTGTCTGTTAGCTACTACTTCAAGTGTGTTATAATCCTTGAAGCTTGTACAAGTGGAAAAATCATAATTTTGAAGGGAGATGTGTGGGTGGCGTCAGAAAAGGCTCCGGCTGAAAAAATCATACACCCATCCCTGCATCTTTCTTTAGCTCTGTATAAAAATGTGTACTTGTCATTCACGTATGTAAGCTAATTCACAACAAATCACAGTTTAGATCGTGAGTAAAACCGCTGTACAACGCTTTGTTCAACAGTGTTCGAGCATCCAGTCCGTCTGGTTGGTGGGAGTGGTCCTCATGAAGGTCGTGTTGAGATCTACTACCAGGGACAGTGGGGCACTGTCTGTGAAATTAATTGGGATATTGTTGATGCAGACGTGAGTTTTGTTCGTTCTTCATGATTGTGTGTGTATATAATATTAATTCCTGGAAAATGGAATTTAGGGTACCCGAATTAAGAGGCGGTACGTAGGTGGTGGATTTTGCATGTAATAATCCCTAGGTGAGATACATAGGGTATAGGGTACCCGAATTAAGAGGTGATAAAGGGATGTGTGTTAAGTTTTGTCACTGTTCCAGGTGGTGTGTAGGCAGCTAGGCTACTCTCAGGCCACTAGAGCTTCGGTCAGAGCTGAGTTTGGAGAGGGAAGTGGACCCATTTGGTTGTCTTACGTGAACTGCAGAGGGTTTGAGAGGTCATTGGATCTGTGTTATCGTGGAGAGTTGGGTGATAATGTGTCTGACTGTTACCACTACCGAGATGTAGGAGCAGTGTGTGAAGGTTAAACATATTCTGTCAATGTACAATCCAGTGGTCTATACGCATGCACGTAGACTTGGGTTCGTGGGTCCGTATACTATGAATTGGACTCTGACCTGAGTAAACTTACGTTTCTACGCAGCACTTGACAGGACAGTGTTAGTCAGCTGGTAGTCGCTGTTGTCAGCTAACGCGGCGGATCGGATAAGCTGGTTTTATCGTGAATAGTACGCAAGCGCAACGTGTGTTGCATGTGGGCGTGTCAGCAAACTGACCAATCGGATTACGCGACACCTTAGTGTGTCAAGGTAGTCACACTTGAATCGCAGTGATTAAGACGCTTGGCTGGCACTTTCTAACACAAAGCGTCGTCAATGGTTGCTATGAGGTCTGTGTGTGCATCATCTCAATGAAAAGCACTTGAAGTGCATAACCCTCGCCACTTTATTCTTTATTTCAGCAGCCAATGGCTACTGGCTACACTACCTCAGTTGTTTGCACGTGCGTGTTCAATACTAGTTACTACTACGGCAAAGTGAAAAGCACTTGACAGTACATAACCCTCACCACTTTATTCAGCTACTAACTACACTACATAAGTGACTCCTTCACTGAACGGATTCACTGGGCGTGTGCTGCTGTCACTTCACCAGCAATCTCGCTCCGCACAGCTACCGGTAGCGCGATCTCTAATTGACGCACACTCACCTCAACAGCCTGCCCGTATTTCACCAGCTTCCCTGGTCTCTTCTCCGCTCCAGAATCTTATTTTACCATGCATGCGCCTCCTACTTGATAATATGTCCACGTCACCCGCTCAGAGTTGCCGCGGTTACCGAGAAAAACGGTGGACAGACGGACGGACGGACGCACACACACAGACAGACCAACTGCAATAACCCTCGCTGCACATGCGTGCAGGTGAGGGTTAATTAGACGAGTGCTGCTTCATATCTATGGATGCAATTACCTCTCCTTACGGAGGGGCAACATCAGTTGTAATACGTACTTTGAATGTGTTTTAGCTACAATGAATTTCGTGTTACCTGAGCCATAATGGTAGCTATTCAATGTTGTTCAGGTAATGATACAGGACTACTGCCCATTCGCCTCGTGAATGGTGCAACAGAGTATGAAGGTCTTGTTGAGATCCTACTGGATGGTCATCTGGGGAGTGTGTGTGGAGACGGCTGGGACCAGAGGGATGCTGCTGTTGTCTGCAGACAACTGGGCTTTGCCAGTGAAGGAGCTGAACATCTTCTGTCTGCTTACTATGGGGAGGTTAGCTCAATCCTGACTGTGTATATTATAGGAGGGAGCAAACGTTTATTAAGACCTATGTACGTATGTACCGTGTGTTTATTATGCACATGGACGTAAACACATTTGTTCATCTATTTACAGCTGACAAGCCTCACATAGCAACAGGTGGTTTCAGTGCAGTTTGTTTCTGGTTTACTTTATTATGTACCTGTGTATAGCGATGATATGCAATGAAATTTGTCTACCTGCCATTCTGTCAACTTTGCTGTACATGTAGCTACGTACTTTGTTCAACTTACATAGAGCTCCGGTCCAATTTTGCTGAGTAATGTGGAGTGCTCGGGAACGGAGTTGTATTTGAAGGACTGTCCAAGCTCTGGACTCTACCAACACAGCTGTACCCACTCCCAGGATGTTGGAGTTCGCTGCTCTGGTACATACGTAAGGCAACTTTAGATTGGGACACAGTCGCCTAGTACAGCTCATTACCCTAGCAGAGCTAGCTCACAGTAATCAGTGGCAAATGTACGTACAAACTTTAATATTAATTGTCTTCACCTTCTGGAAGGTATATAGATCCAACAAAAATAATTGTGTAGATGACATAATGTCTCATGCCTCTTGGCTGATATTGGGTGATCAGAGTATTTGCATGACCCTCAAAACATGCTGAATGTAGAGCAAGCACTATTGCTGCAAAGTACAGCATACTAATGATTATTAACCCTCGGTGCGCATGCGCAGCGAGGGTTACGGTAGTCGTTCTGTCTGTTTGTGTGTGTGTGTCGACGCTTATTCTGGCACTACAGGCTACGAAGCGGCCCATAGCTTCAGAATTACACGAGCCTGAAAAATAAAAGTGCGATTTTCCTGAAACAACTGTGTTCGAGAGCGACAAACTGGCACGGTCGCTGGTCGTGTTGCGTGGCCCAACTCGACTCATCAATAAGCTGTGCGCATGCGTATATTAGACGCGCGATCAACGCGGTATGCTGGCTCACATCGACCTGATCCGCTTGCTCTGTTTACCTTGGAGGCACAAGAACAGCGAAGGGCGTTTGTCGACTCCGGCATGCTATCTACTACCGTAGCTAACCCGTGTCAGACTCCCCGCGAGCTACTAGCGGGAGACCGCAGGTAAACGCATACTAATAGGCCCAGCACATCCATTAGCAGTACCGCGGACGCACAGTTCGCCGAGGGTTTGCACTTAGTGCTTTTCATTAGTGAAGTCATGCATCTACATACTATCAGGTTTTTCGATCATTTTTTAAATATGTACTGTTTATCTCAGGTTACTGTAGACTAAACAGTCTTGCTACATACATACATACATACATACATACATACATACATCATACATGCATGTCCGTTTGTTTGTGTCATGAACGTATTACTTAACCCAAACACAGCTGGCTCCCCAGTCTCTGAGTTTTCCAACCCTGTTCGTCTGGTGGTCAATGGCTCCCATGTCTCTCACGACGAGGGTACAGTTGAGATCTACTACAACGGAGCTTGGAACACCATCTGTGATACAGAATGGGACATGGCTGAGGCCATAGTGGCCTGTCGCATGCTGGGATTTAGAACTGCCTCCGGTGCTTATTCCAGGTAGGAAGCAACATCACACGTTCATTGCTGAGTGTACAGTGGAACCTCCGAACAAAGGACACTATGGGGCCAACAATTTTGTCCCTTGTAGAGAGGTCTTCCCTATCTCTGAAGTAAAATTGGCATTGGGTTGAAAAGGAAGTCCTGCCAACCATCACGCATTGGGCGTTGAAAGACACGCATTTATGCTTGTTCACACATCCACGCACGCATTGCTAAAGTTGCACACATTTTTGTAGGTCAAAAAATAACACATTTGTGTTTCTATGACCTCTATTGTTCAACCTGAACAGGCTCAGCTTAGCGTTTAGCGGACAGGAGAATAGCTACGTAGATAGCTAGTAGCGTAGTTGATCCACGCCTTCTTGCGCGATTTGCACGAGCACCGTGTGCACAATTTAGCGTCTACAAGTAACGGGCAAGTCAAATGTTTTCCATGCTAAAAGCCCAATTTCCACAAATTCCTAGCAAAAATCACATCCTGTTCCAAGCAATTGCATATAGGTTGGCAGCACTGGAAAAGTGTCGTTTGAAAAGAGGTTGTCCCTATCTCAGATTGTCTCTTGTCTGAGGTTCCACGGTGTGCGTACATGTTCACAGATCTTTCTTTGGGTACGGGCGTCCATCTCGACTGGAGGATAACGTGAGGTGTGATGGGACAGAGAGTGAACTGAGTGACTGCTTCTACGATGATCAGTTTCTTTATGGCTGTGGCTATGAGAATGCGGCCGGCATTTCCTGCACTGGTAAGCTGTTACAAATGAGTAAAACCGTAACATGTCCCACTGGAGGATCATGCATGTACATCTATATAGCAGTTGAAAGGCCCTCCTTCTTCAGCAGCGTACATGACACAAGATAATTATTATTAGCAAACTTTACTCGCTCGCTGATGCTGCAATCTAGAAACTGGTAGGAGGACGGCATTGGTTTGCCTAGTCACAGGAGCTTTTCTCCTGAGCATGAATGTGGAATGTACACTCAAAGGAATGCAACACATTTTTTGCCGAACGAAGCGAGCAGTTCAAATTTGCGTGCATTTTACGCATATTTAGAATCACATATAACAATACTGTCTGTGCATTGCTTGATAGGGCGTACGTTACGAAATTTTTTTTAAAAGTATAGGTCATGGTAGTGCTGACTAAATGTCAGATGATAACAATAATGGTTTTGTTTAGCTCTAATTGTGCGTCCTGTGGTTTGTGGAACACAAACATTGTTCAGATGACACTGCACCAGTCCGTCTGGTTGGTGGGAGTGGTCCTCATGAAGGTCGTGTTGAGATCTACCACCAGGGACAGTGGGGCACTGTCTGTGACGATGGATGGAGCTGGATCGATGCTAATGTAAAACGATCATTTATGCAAGCCAGCTAAGTCATAATATCCATGCCATTCTCTTACTTGTATACAGTAAGTTGAAGCTTTTTGTAATGACCTGCCGGCTTCCTGTTAAACACAGTTTTTCCAGCTTTCAATTTCCTAAACCACATGTTTGGAGCTAGCTGTAAACTAGTCACTCTGTGTGCTCCAATTGCTACCTCTCACACGTACAGGTGGTGTGTAAGCAGCTTGGCTATTATGAAGCCATTTCAACACTGCATGAGTTTGGACAGGAATTATTTTCAAGAAAGATTTGGTTAAAGAAGGTTGCCTGCACTGGCTCTGAAATTGCACTGGACTTGTGTCCTCATGCTGGATGGGGACTCACCTACTGTGCTAATAATCATGATGCAGGTGTAGAATCCGAAGGTAAGGACACATGACACTTAGACCAGTACATACAGCTGAAAGTCGCTGCACATGGATTTTCATTTGACAAAGGAGTAGAGCACAGAAAACATAGAGATATGGATATACCAATGAGCACCATGTATGGTGAAGCGACTTTCCAGTCTTGTTATGGAAATTACAACCGACCATTATTACACAAGTTATGTAGCTATTGCCTCCCTTCAAGAAAATAATACACTGCCTGATGCTGAGCATTGCATTAACTAATGTGTAGTTACAACTGTGTGTGCACTCCTATAGTCTACAAGTTTGAGTCACTCTCACCTTCAATGAATGGGGTATTGTATAGCGGTTATTATCCATGCCGTACTTAAAGTAGCAATAACGCAAACACTTTGGCACATTATCTCCTGTATTTTCTCTGTTGCACAATTAGAGTGTCGCAGTGACCAATTCCGTTGTTCAAGTGGAGGTTGTGTCCCTGGGAGGACCGTCTGCGACGGTGTTGCCCAATGCAATGACAACAGTGATGAGCTCAACTGTGGTAAGTGTAGATACGTATGTGGGGACTGCATTATTTGCCTATGTTGTGTGGTATCCGTAGTTGCACTTCGGGTGTTGTTTGAATTACACATCAGCTTACTGTTACATGTCTGATGTACTAGCATTCCCTATTGCTGGTTCAACAAAAGTACTAGAGGGCAAACCCTCTACGCACTAGCAACATGCTCGCCTAAGTATACGCATGTCTCAACAACTTGGTAACGAGGTAGAAAGGCAAGGCAAGGCAAACAAGTCAACTACACCCAGGACAGCTCTTTCTTTTCAAAGATGAAGATCTGCCCTTGGTGAGATTCGAACCCACAACACTCTGCAGTCTAGGCACGAGTGCTCTACCAACTGAGCTATGGTATTGATGGGTTTGCTCGTTGTCTCTTGCTCCCACGACACTCTGCAGTCTAGGCGCGAGTGCTCTACCAACTGAGCTATGGTATTGATGGGTTTGCTCGTTGTCTCTTGCTCCCACGACACTCTGCAGTCTAGGCGCGAGTGCTCTACCAACTGAGCTATGGTATTGATGGGTTTGCTCGTTGTCTCTTGCTCCCACGACACTCTGCAGTCTAGGCGCGAGTGCTCTACCAACTGAGCTATGGTATTGATGGGTTTGCTCGTTGTCTCTTGCTCCCACGACACTCTGCAGTCTAGGCACGAGTGCTCTACCAACTGAGCTATGGTATTGATGGGTTTGCTCGTTGTCTCTTGCTCCCACGACACTCTGCAGTCTAGGCGCGAGTGCTCTACCAACTGAGCTATGCATGGTATCACTATTATTGATGGGTTTGCTCGTTGTCTCTTGCTAGCTTGCTGAGAGTCTGTTATGCACTAGCTACACCACTGTATAGACAGCATGCGGGAGTCAATACTCAGCTGTGTTGAGACTTCTGGTGCCTCCAAGGTACGCAGAGCAAGCGGATCTTGTGTTTGCCACTTTGCATTTCACTTGGTTTTCATGCCATAATTCCGAACGCAGTACTTCCTTGTTACTTCATTTAAGACTAAGTTTTGAGTCATGAAATAGTTATTCAATGGATATTATGCCATAAGGAGCTAAAAACAAAGGAAAATGATGAGCAGCAGATTAAGTGACTCAAAATATATAGTAGTAATGAAGAACCAACCCAGTACTTAAATTCGCTGACATATTAAAATCAAGCCAGTGTATAGTGCGGAACCTTTTGGTATTGATATTTTGTTGTGTTGTTGCGCGTGGTGGCAGAAAACATGGTAACAGACAAACCGACTCACGAACCGTAACCCTCACTGCGCATGTGTGCCTAGGGTTAACCACTCACAAAGTGGGCTGACATTGTGAAATAAATTTACGGTGCATACATGGTAACTTGAGTATTGTTAAGTGCGTAATAATTATGTCAGCTTGATGAAAAAGTCATGCTACTGAGTAACCAACACCGTTATAGAATCCAAATTGAGCTTAAGAGTGACATCGATACCAGAGAGTAATGTGAGCAGTGTTATGTAAGCAAAAAAGCACTGACAGTTTCCTCATAATTAATCTGAACATCTCGCTCCACATGTATTGCCTTTACCCTCAGTTTGCCTCCGCTACCAATATCAGTGCTCAAATGATGAATGTGTTGATGGGAGTGATGAGTGCGATGGGAAAGAAGACTGTTCAGATGGTTCAGATGAAATGGACTGTTCCGTAATTGACCCATCATCATCATCATCATTTTCTGGACAATGTAGGTGATTTATTCTGCATATGTATACTTATTTCCATGTGATTTCTATTTTTCGTGCAGTTGAGGTTATGATGATAATCATCGTCTCAATATTAGTGTGCTTGTGCTGTGCTGTTTGCATACCAGGCGTAATAGTAGGCTACTACTGTAGTCGCTCAAAGGCGAAATCCCGACCTACAGCACCAGCAGCTCGAAACACATTGGGAGTATATGAAGTTTCTTTTTTGTCAGGGCGTAATCCAATACCACCAGTTGGACCCAGTGATTTCCCACCAGTTGGGCCCAGTGATTTCCCTCCAATTGGACCCAGTGATTTCCCGCCAGTTGGGCCCAGTGATTTCCCTCCAGTTGGACCCAGTGTTCACAATCCAATACCACCAGTTAGACCCAGTCCAATACCACCAGTCGAGATGGTCAGA